CAGAGTCTTTGGTGGACAAGGAAGCCACAGAAGATGTTTAAAGTAGGTGTGTTCAGTTTCATATCTCTAAACCCTTGGTAGCAGTCTCTAGATGCCACTAGGGCTTCATTATGTTCCACTCTGAGCATGGCAAGAGAATCCACATGTAAAACAAGCACAGCTGAGTAGGCCAGACAAGCTGAGACAGTGAAATAATTTATTATTTAAACTGCTAAGAATAAACATAGAAAGGAGCTGACCAGAAAAACGTGGTTGGTTGTCTCCATGCTTTTTGTGCCCCAGCAAATTTATGCTTGGAGGGACACCAGGATTATGGTATAGCTGGAAAGCATTCATGAAATTTGTTTTCCCTGGGAGGAATCCATTTTTCATAATTATCAGCCTGGGTAGAGACAGAATTCATTGCTCAAAATCCACCCTGATTTCCATCAAGAGCCTGTCCAGAAGGGTTGGTCCCTGCCCTGGGTAAGCTGAACACATCCTACACCTCTGCTTCCTGTCCCTTCCTGCTCCAAAAGACCACAAAGACTGCAAGGGGCTTCTTAAAACCAGAAATGCTGAAATTCAAGCTGAAAACATACATCAGAATGATGCTGTGCTTAAGATGGTAAATGCCCTATATTTGTGGGATAGGGTGGTGCTGGTGGGGTTTTTGGTTGCATTTCTAAAATCCCTTAATCTTCTCTGGGAAGCAAACAAAATTATCCCACTTTTCTAGACCGTTATTACCAAGCTCTCAAAATTCCCAGCTAAATCATGACTTCAGTTCCTGCAATGGGCACAGATTTATATTTATTTCCCACAGATGGGGAGGTTCAGCTTGGCAGTGACTCCAATTCAGGAAGTGTTTGTCCTTTAGGAATAGCATCTTTCTGTTCCTACTGCTGACACCTCCACTGAGGAGGAGCATGGCCCTGCAATAAATGATCTTTATTTGAGTTGTTTTGTGGAGGTTCTGCTCACCTTGACAGATTTTGCAGGTCTTGAAAAAGTCTTTTAGTTTGAAGTTTGTGTAATTATTTCACACTGAACAGGGTTAGAAGCAGCACATGGCTCCTGTGCTGTTCTTTGAGGCTTGCAGGGGGTAAAAATCTGTCTTCTCACAGTTATTAATTACATTCATTTGTGTCTACACTTAATAGGACATGATCAGGTTGAACAATTGTATATACATATATATATAACCTCCAGCTCCCAATAACCACAGTGGAACTGGAGCAAAAGAAATGGAGGCTGTTGATGTGTTCACCTCCCATTAGAGAGTGGCAGTTGTAATTAAGCATGACTGTAAATGTGTGTGGATGGAGATAGCAGGAAGGGGTGAGCTGGGCTCAGCTTCCCTGGGAGGTGAGAAGGGACCCGTGAACATGTGGAAAAACAAAACCACAATCTCAGTGTTGACAGCATTTCCATACCTGAGATGCAAATGGTCGAGTCAGCCATGAAAACTGAGCTGCCTTTCAAACTCCAGTAATTCCTGAATTATTGAGAAAAGCACACACCCTGCCTGAAAACCTTGGAGCCACACATCCCGTTGTTCATGTGCCCTCTGCCACAGCTGCACTGGAGTGTGAATATCCCCTGTCCTAATTTAACACCAGTGTTAATCCTTTCTGAAGCAGTTTTCAGTGGGGTCTGTGGCAGGGCAGGGCCCACAGGAGGGGTTCCACACCATGGGTGGGGTTGCTGCTGTTCCCCTGTCCCCAGTGCAGCCCCTCTCCCTCTGGTGCCTCTGTCCTGCTTTGCTGCTCTCCTCAAATTCATGGCACACAATCAGATTTATTTGTCACATGCCAGCTCATTCTGTCACTCTTCTGTGGTCTGGATATCAGACTCACTCATGGATCTTTGCTGGAGCCCTCAAATACTCAACACTCAAAATCCCACAGGGTGTGTGCTCAGCAGGTGCTGCTGTGCTACAAAACACAGGGGATCCTGCCAAGCCCAGCTTTAAGGGATAAAGCCAGAGCTCTCAGCTCCTGAGGCTTCAAGTTTTCAGAATCATATTAATAGGAATTTTATGGTGTTTTTGTTCAAAATGTTATGGTAAATATTCCAAATTAAAAAAAAAAAAAATCCATTAAAAATCCCAGGCAATCCGGGGATCAGGATTTTGATTTTGATCAGGCTGATTTGAGACCAACTTGCAGGCTCAGAGAGAACCCTCTTCCAGTGAAAGATGCTTCCTACAAGTCTCCCTGTCTGCTCCATTGAGCACAGGCATGGATTTACCAGGCCTGGGGAGGAAGAGGATTTAATTGATGCTGCCAGAGTCAGCACAGACACCCTGCCTCTTCTTGATGTGGTTCTAGGGCTCTGAAGTGCTTCCCATCAGCCACACCATGCAAGCTGGGATTCCTTCTCACTCTGGAATAGCTTCCACAGAGGAAATATGGATCCAGTTTCTCCTACAGCAGATGTTAATCTTCAAAACACATGGTGGGGAGCACTTATTTCTCTGGGAAGGAGGAGAAATCAACCAGCTGAGCTCACTGGACTGCACTGTGCTGCGCTGGTGATGCTGTGGCTCCATCTCTGTTTGAAACATTCCCTGTTCCTGTGGGCAGGGCATGAGTGGGCACGAGGAGACGCCAACACTCACAGGATCATCGAGGTTTTTCAGGCTCCATCATCACCCAGAGCTGTTTTCCTCAGTCATTGCTATAATCAGCCTCTAAAATCAACATTTTAGTCACCTGGATGTTGGTATGAAAGGTGGAATTGCCGTGTCAGGCAGCAGGAGCAGCTCCCAGTTCCAGGAACTGGAGGAAGTGTCTGACTCAGTGGGCCAGAAAGAGCAGTTTCCAGCCATGTCACCAAGTCCAAGTCACTTCTCTCCAAGCTGACAGAGGAGGTTTAAACCAGGCAGTTCCTCTTTTTCCAGAGGAGAATGTGGGTAATGAACCACCCAGGGAAGTGGGAGCCTCAGCTCCTGTTAGAGGGGGAAGGCCTGGAGGGCTTTAGGGGCAAAGAGGAGCACACAATGAACTCAACATCCCTCATCACAGGGGTTTAGGGTGGAAATAGGTGAAGTTTTCTCTAGAGGATGATTTGCAGAGAAAGATAGAAACAGCTGGTTTTGAAATACGCACAGAATAACTGAAAACTGAGAGGAGATTGTTTGCATAATGAAAGAGGTTTTAGTTAGGATAATGGATTAAAACAGCTAGGGAAAATGTATCCTGGAAAGATGCTGGGGCACATATGATACATGTCTACCCAAAGAATTCCCTTTGGAATCATTGGAAGTTTCAAACAGCAGATTTATCCAGTGCCCTCCTGACTGCAGCAATGAGGGACCTGCTGGTTTTGGAGCTCTTGTTCTGGGGACACAAAGCATCTGAGGGTTTATTTCAGCTGGAAGATGTTAACCTTCAATTCTTCATTTATTTTCCAGAAAGAACTTGACAAAAAGTGGAAGGGGCCTGCAGGGACTTCAGTCTCCTGAGTATTTCATATGCTGCTGCAGCTGATATGAAGTTTAGCTCTCAGTTTAAGGCTTGACAGTGAGTGGATTTTTGTTCCCCTCCGGTGTTTTACAGGTCTAAACAGATCTTTGGAGAGGGAATGGAAATGAGCCATTCCCCAGATTTAGATGGATGAGACAGATAAAAATATCCCCATTCTAAGAAGGGAGGTTTGATGTTTTTAAAAAAATCAGATGACTGAACCATTGGCTCAACCTGAATTTCTTAGAACATGAAAGCTCCTCTCCAGTTTTGGTGCTCACCCTCCAAAAACTGCTTGAGTCAAGCAGTGGCAGCACAAACCTGAGCCAAAAAAAATGCAGCATTTAGGTGGGGCCACGCTTTCCTCACTGTGCATTCCTTGAGGCATTTTCATGTTGCCTCATTCCCCAGTGTTACCAGAAACTCTGCACCACAACTGAAGAGTCCCAAACTCAGCCTGAAACAGCTGCAGAACAACCCTGACCTAGTTGGGAGAGTGAGACTCAGCAGCCAAGAGAGGTCTGTGCTTTGGGAGACCTCTCTGAGCTGGGATGTGTCACACAGGAGGCTTGGCTCTCTTCAGCCAAGAGCCAATTGCAGGAAAATTGCCTCTCTCCTGCTTTTAAAACTGGTTTTATTTTTTCCTCCAAAGGTTTTATGGCCTGGTGAGCCTCTCCCCTGTGTGCCCAGCCTGTGACCCACAGCAGCAGCAGCAGGACATGCTCACAGGACAGGGACAAGAGGAGCAGCCACTACCCTGCACATCTGGATCTGCACATCTGTCCAGTGAGGGCTGGCAAAGGAATCTGTAGGTTTGGGCTGTTAGGTTTTGCCTCAAGAGTGGCAGGGAGACTGAGAACAGCACAAATGCAGGAAAACACACTGGGAAAAAGTAACAAATCCATTCTTGCCATTGCTTGTCATGATCTTGTGCTTAGGTAGCCCTGACACTTTGCCAGGAGAAGGGATAACTGTGGCCTGAAGTCAAATATTGATGCCACTAACATAAAGTGGGGTTTTACTGCATTTATTTCAACTTAATAATTACTGAGCCCATGCCTGCATTGGGAATTGGCACAGATGTGGGAATTAGGGAGCTGCAGGTGGAAATGAGCACTCTGTCAGGTGGGGAGAGGGGGTAATAAGGGGGGAAGGGAGTGGGTAGAAGCTGAGATACAGGATCAGGCTTTGCTCTACACTTAATGTGAGCCCTGGCTATGATGCAGCAGAACACTGCTCAAATGCAGAATAAAAATGTTCCTTTTCCCTGCTGCAAAAAGGAAGTAAAACAGCAGGAACAGACTGAGGAGTGCTGTGAGTGGAGCTCCTCCCTGTGCTGAGCAGGACTCTCAGGACAGCAGCTGCAACTGAGTCCAGGATGTGTAGTTGGAAGAAGAGAAAATAATTAGAATAACTTGTTTTTTTGGGTTTTTTTGCCCAAGCAGAAAGAGTAAATCACACAGTACCACAGTTGCAGGGAATATATTTGTGATGGAGGCTCCAGCAACCCTTCTCCATCCCCTTATGCATGGGACTGCTCTTTTCTGGCAGGGATCTTTGGGAATCAGATCTCCAGTGCAAAAATGCATCCCAGCATTACTAAAGAGGCTGATTGTCCCTGCACCCAGACTGCACCAACTGGTAAGTGACATCCCTGGAATGTATTTTCCTGGAATGACTTCCCACAAGGCTGTCTCCTGGTAGGTGACAGTCACACACTTGCAGGCTAATTCATTTTCCTGTTGCTCAGCTGCATAAAGCAGCCTCTTATCTTGCAATTTGTGAGCATCATGTATAAATATTTGCAAGTGCTACTCAGTTGTCTGGAGAGGTGTGAAAAGCTGTTTGTGTAGCAGCACACAGAGGTGATCCCAGGACAAGTTTAACTCTGAGGGGAGGGGTGAGGAAAGCACAGTGAAAAATCATGGGAGACTCCTGTGAATCAATTAAACACTATGCTCAGGGGAAGTAGGCTGCTACTGGTATGCTCAGTGTTTTAATCCTCACATTTTGGGTTATTTTTAAGGAGCTTGGGGAATGGAATGATGACAATAAGTAATTTGCAATTATTCTTGATGTTACCCAAGGTCAAAAATGCATTTAGAGTGGATTTTCCCCTAAGTGACTCTGTTGGGGTACTGAAAATCACAGAATAAAATATAACATCTGAATAACTTCTAATGTGAGTTTGCCTGGGATGGTGTCCTGTATCAGCAGAAGAGAAAATGCTGCTCTGACTCGCTGATGTCAGATGGAAGATCTCCAAATGCTCATTCCCTCCCATCTGGGCTTTCCTTCATCTTGTTCATTTTGGTTTCTACTGAGTCTAACACTTGCTAGGAAAACAAAATAATGCCACATAGGGCTTCTGCTGCTTATTTGTGCTGCACAGACTGTCCAAAGCTGGAATTTTCAAGTAATTTTTAATAGGAGATGCATGTCATTAATGTTCTTGGCCCTTATGGCATCTCTTCAGTAGCTGGAGCAGCTGGTGGCTGCTGTAAAACTCTATAAAATGGTCATGACAGATCCTCTTGCAAAACCCTCCACAGCTCCTGAAAAATGCTGCCCTTGTCAGAAACATCAGGGTGGAGCAGGGAACAAAAAGGCTGAGCAGGTTAATGATTAAAACTGGAAGAAAATGTTTGCACAGATGTGACTGGCTGTAGCTCTGCCTCTCATTTCCTGCCCCTCGAGTCTGCCCTCACAAGCAGCCCAGCTCAGGCTCACAGCACCCCAAAATTCTGTTTTCAGGAAGATCAGCCAGAACCAGGCAGGGCTCCTGCTCCCCAAATCTGAGAGGAAAGGCCACACTGGGGTTCAGGGGGTCAAGGCTGCCCTGCCAGTGCAGGGAGAGCTGCTCACAGGCAGGATGGAGTGGAGCTGCTGTGAGCTGCTCACAGCTCCTGCAGTCCCTGCACCTTTCCTGGGCAGCAGGGCTCTGCCTCTCCTGCTGCTGCTTGTCCCAGTTTTCCCTCTCTGGATAACTGCCACAACATTATAAATAGACCTTGCTGCTGGGTGCTGTGTTCTGCTAAACCCCACAGATCTGGGGGCTTTCAGATATAGCTGCTTTCCAAGTTCAAAGTCCTGCTTGCTGCCAAACTCATTTTTCCTCCTTAGCAAAAGGATTTCTGTTCCTGTGGTTGATCAGAGGTAAAGCAAGAGTCCTCAAATGTACCTTCACCCAGATTTCATGTGGCTTTGCCTATTTCCACCCTCAGAGTGACTTCAATTAAACAATTCCTTGCAGTTTGTGTTGAGAACCAAGCTGGTGCTGTCCCAGGCAGGAGGGAATGGCAGGATCCAGTCCTTATTCCAGATTCTTACACTAAAAGAGCATCAAAGCAGCTGCCTCTGGGTTGTCACAGCTTAGCTCAGGCATTTGGCAAGATGTGAACAACATTTCCTGGCACAGGCTTTGGAGCAGAGCAGGAATTTGTCAGGCAGAGCTGGATGTGTGCTCAGCCCCTCCAAGCAAAGGGATCCCCAGTGCCAAACCCAACCAGCCTGGGCACAGCCCCTCTCCCCACGCAGCTCCTGGGAGCTGATTCATGAGCAGGAGCTGTGCAGTGCTCCTGGCATTTCACACAAGGTCTGAGGCAAATGTAACACCCAGCAGACCTGTTTTTAAAGATAATTTATGAACAGGAGGAGCTTACCTTCAGTTTGTAGGTGTATTTTAATGCCATAGTCTTTGGATTAAAATGTCTGTGTTATAGTAGCCAACGTTATTTTGGTTTTACTTCCAAATTTTGATCTACCTCCTAACAAAACTCCTCCACCCAAACTTGACTTCTTTCTGCCCTTGTCTACAGCTGAAAAAAAGATTCCTGTTTTGCTGCCTACATAGTTATTCTTAAACTCCTATCTAATAATTAACTCAAGACCAGCAGCTGTAAATACACCTTGCAGGTCTGACTGCAAAGACATAGGAGTTTTTCACATCCTATTTCTGGTGACAATGCAAAGATTCTATAAAAAGAGCAGAGGAACTCATGGTCACTCTTCTGGCATGTCCCAGACCAGAATTCTGCGTTCACCATTGCTCAACAACTCCAAAGTAGAAAAGACATTGCCTGTCACAGGGATGTGAAACCCAACTGGTTGTGTTCCCACAGTCCCTGTGGGGACAAATTCATTAAAAACTTTTACAGGTAGGGAAAAATTTAAACACACCCACCACGTTTTCCCTGACAGCGCTGTGCAATTACAAGATTTTCTAACGTAGTTTGTAAAATTTTGAAGCAACAGCAAAAATTTTTGCTTGCTGTAGCACTTAGGATCATTTCCTTGTTTTTGCTTTCTGCCTTGAGTAGGTCCATACTATGTAATAAACTGAGCATGACATAAAGGTGTCATTTACAACCCAAATGCAGCTGCACAACCATTTTCCTTTGTAAACTGCAGAGCAGCAATCACCTGAGATACTCCACTGCTGCCATGAAGTCACCTGTGAGCAACCCAGCTTTAGTAACACTCCAGTGTGTAATTACTGCCTGTGTGTCATCCCATTTTAGCAGCTCTGGAGTCAGGAGTTGTTGCCTGGCCAGTTTCTCCCTGCTCCCTAATTTCAGATGGAGCAAACTCGGCGCGGCCGCGGTTCCTCGGCGCTCCCCCGGCTCTGCTCCCCAGCTGAGCACACTGGATGCCTGGAGCAGGGTGCTTTTGTGTTTTTGGGGTAGTCTGGAGCCTGACTGAGGTTTTGCTCCTTTGGCAGATGAGTTTTGGATGTTGTCAGCGGGGCCTTGCTTCGGTTTTCACCGCCCGGATCCGTCCACGCCGACATGGAGGTGCTGTGAGCAGGGTGAGTGTTTGGGGGTGAAATCTTCCAGAGAGAGGTGGAACCCATCCTTCACACTGAGCATGTATTTCTGTTGTGCTTCTTTCTGTTCTTCTAGTCTCTAAATGGCTCTCCTGAGCTGTGCTATTTCCTTGGGCATTCAGGAGTGAAGAAGGACAGGCCTGATTTAATTTGTGTTTGTCAGCCTGGAACACTGTTGCACTTCCTAATTCCTGTGCCAAGGGGATCCAAAATTTAATATCAGAACTTTAATACATTCATCATCTTCCACCAAAAGTTTCAGCTACTGTAGTGATCACTGAAAGTCAAATATAAGGTATAGAATAAGTTATTTCAACTCAGAAAAACCCTTCTTTTTATTTAATTCAGAAATAGGCAGGTAAATAATCTCAAAGCATAATATTGCTTTTCAGAGTTCTTAAAAATTTTCTGTTAGGAATAACTTTCATAGGAAAGTGAAAATTTCTCACCAAAGAAGAGCATTCTTGGTAGCACCTGAAGTCTATGAATGCCCCTCAAAAGTTTAAAAACTTACAGGTTTTTAAGATGAAGCTCTTCCTACCAAGTGTAACTTTCTGCTGATATGACTCATAAATAATGCAGAAAAGTCAGAATGAAGTTTTATCAGCTTTTCCCTCGGGAAGGGGTATTATTTTTCTATGGGCCAGTAAGAATTAGGTTGTAGGTGCTGGAAGTGCCATGGTCTGTTCTGAGCAGCCTGTGAATGAAACAGCTCCTGAAAGTCACTTCCCCTCCTCTGCCCCCAGGGAAGGGGAGACCTTTGTGCCACAACATCACAGCTGAGTGTTTTTCTGATTTGTAGGATTCTCTCTTTAGCCATGTCCTATAAACTGTTCCTGAGATGTAAAGATACAGATATGTGTGATTCTTCTTGTTCTCAGATAAGCAGAAGGTGAGTCTGTGATAATGTGTAGCAATGGCAGAATCCCATTCACCATCACAGATAAATTCCCTTTTCTTACCTCCAGTACACTGGAGGGCAGATACCAACTCCTCAGATCCCTTTCAAAATCATTCTTGATACTATAAATCAGTGCAGGGGTTTTGTCTTGCTGGCCACTTCAAACAAGCCATTTCTCTGGTGGCCTGGAAGTGACAATTAAGGAGATAGGAATAGAAAATAGTTACAACCAAAGACAACACTCTGTATCAGGTTACATAAGCTACACTGCTTAGATCTGACACTGTTCAGGCTGCTGCACTATTTTACTCTTTCTGTGAGAGATTACAGAAAATGACAGTGCACTGGAAGCTGCTGCTGAAAGCCCAGCTTAGTTTTCATCTCAGCACACAATTAATTGTGATTAAAAATGAGGCAGACGCTGCCTCAGCACTGTAGCAAGGTACTTCTGCTACAGTGCCTGCAGTTATTTACTTGGGCAGGCTGATTAAAATCTCATTTTAAATAGAGTTTTTGGCTGGCATACAGTCACATCTCTGTGCTTTTGAAAGCATAGTCCCTCTGTACTTCAGGAAATCTGTCCTCTTTTTCCTTCCCAAACTGCTTCCTTACATCACTGTGGTTCAGCAGTCCTTCACCATCCAACACAACTCCAGGGCTATGTTTGGTTATTTCCCACCTCTCCTCAGAGGTGCAGCCTGTTCTTGAGTCACTGCTAAAATCTCTGAAAATGGGGCTGGAGCTGCTGCCCTTGCAGGGAGGTGTTGCCATCTCTGAGCAGCTCCAGCATCACTCACAAACAAGAGGAATTTAGGAATTGAACTTGATCTTTATTCCTCCAGCTCTTCCTTCTACTCTCTCATCCCTCTGACTTCACACCCCACCCAACTGAGCCCTTCTCAACTTGGCAGCTCCTTTTGTTGGCTTTTGGACTTCTTTAATCTGTTCTCAACTGTTCTCTTCCTTTAAAGTCACTTATTTTGTGAAGCTATTTAATGTCCATGCCCACCATGGTCTCCTATGATTTGATTTATGTCAAGTATCCCATTTGCCTCTTCCCTGGGATGGGAGATGTATTTCCCCTTATTTTGTGAAGCTATTTAATGTCCATGCCCACCATGGTCTCCTATGATTTGATTTATGTCAAATGGGATCATTTGCCTCCTCCCTGGGATAGGAGATGTATTTCCCTACACTCTGCTTTGTATTCTTTAAGTACTTGGTGAGGAGTAAATAGCAGAATTATTTATGAACTAAGCAGGATAACAGTCATTTGTTTTAGCTGTGTTTAGAGTAAATGTTTATCAGTGTGTTCAGTGACACAACATGTCCTGGGGACTACGGGAGTGGCATTTCCAGTGGCACAGACAAAGCCCCTCTTCCCCCCTCCACTGTGTCATCTCCAAATTCAGCTCTTCTCTGCATTTACTAGAAGCTGTGGTGTACTTTGTATGCAAAAATATTTTTCCCTTTATAAATTATTTCTATGAAAGCTGTGATATGAATTCTTAGGGAATTCATCCAAACTAGGAATGTTTCCTAGTGTGAACACACCTGCCAATGGTAGAAAACACAATAAAAATTTATTTTCATGCCTGTTTCTTCAGCCAGCCTTTGGAAGGTAAGGAGTCCTTTCCAATATTTCAAGTTCCTATTCCACAGAGTGCCAAGAGATTACAGCTGCACTTAGGAGTGTTTGGACCCTGTAAATTCTCAGCTCTCTGTACTTGGGATTGAAAATTGCCATAATTAAACATTTGTTGTTTATGCATTAATAGATTTTCACTCCAATACCAGTGTATTTGATATTCTTGGCTCCTCTCTCACACCAGGTGTCATGTCTTTTCAAACACTCTGAACAATCTGCTTTCTGTGTCTTGATACTCCCAGAATGGAGGGATCCTGGTGCTAAGGCACACTGACAGCATTGTGACAGGAGCAGAAAATATGTGTGTGTACATTTGTCACATCAAGGAAAGTGGAGTAGGAGGGGGAAAAATGTGTGGTTGATTTTGCTAAAACTTTGCAGGCAAATTATTTTTACCATTTGTTCTTGGGTATGGAGGCCACTCCCCTGATTTCCTTGGGAATGGATCCCTGACCTCATAAATCTCCTTGGGTGTACCTTCAGTGAATTTTAATGTATCCTGAATTCACCTTCTTGCTTTCAAATTATCCTGGGCCATTTAAAATGATGCCCTTGAGTATTAGATTGAGAAACAGGGAGATAGTTATTCATTATTCCCTAGAGAATTCATGCTGTGGGTGTTCCTAGGCAGGTAACTGCATCAAGACCCTTTTGTGTCATGTGCTGGTGGTCATTCCCTCCAGCAAAATCATGGGTTTTTTTCTTTTTCCTGGGGAAATATTGGGAAATCACCAGGACACAAATCCTGGATGTTATCCATGTGATAATTTAGCTGAGCTCACCTTGGGCATCATTTTCAGTCTGCTGCTTTTGCTGTTCCAATGCAGTGAAAACTTTCAGGGATTTTTCTTTGCTCTTTTCACATCTGGAACATTCCTTTATCTGTTTGCTGTTGCACAGATCTTCCTGGGATTTACCACTTTTCTGAAATTATCTTGGTCAAGAGCAGACTGCTCAGATTAACTGAAATATGCCCAAATTTAGGGCTACTTTAAAAAGTCTTCTTTCTTTTTCTCTTAATAACACACACTGTCACTGGGACTGACAGGCTCCCTTCAGTTTAATTTAGGCACAGGCTTGAATTTATGGCTCTCCTGGTACCACTTTTAATGTCACTTGTCATAGACTGAAATTTAATGAGTCATGTGTGGAACCCTCCAGATTTGACACATGAAAGGGTGGAGGTGTGACCTTAACAGCTGAAAAAGAGAAACTTGGGGGAAAAAAGAATCAGTATTTGTGTGTTTACACTGAAGAGACTGTAAACAGGTAAAACTTCCTTCAAAGGAACAGGACCCAAGTAACCAATGTCTCTCTACTGCAGAAACATGATTAAAGATAACAACGAAATTGTTCCACTAATGGGCAAGAAAACAAACCCACCTGGAAATCCCCCTGCAAACCAGCAAGAGAAAAAAGTGACTGAAGGCACTCCCACCAAGAAAAGGTAGGACTGAGCTCAGCCCAAACCACTAAAACTCCCTGCTTTGTCTCCTTTAGGAGATCTTTGCACTGAAATACCACCAACACCTTTGTTCTGTGCAACCTCACAAGGATCTGATCTAATGATGGTTAATGTTTGGTATGAAGTGATCTTTTTAAGAGATCACATGGAAGAACACACCAGGTTTTATGTAAGAGGCTGGCCTGAAAAAAGGGAGCATTTCAGACTTAATCTGTCACATTTCCATGTGAGGCTACGGAAAGGCTGAGGGCAGGAGGTTTGAAAAATTCTATCACAAACAGAAACCTAAACTCACTCTCTTTTTCATTAGTCTGATTAATGAGACTTTTTTTCTGTTTTATAAAATATTCACTTTCATTCATAATTGATGTTAGAGAATTAATAAAGGGATTGAGGGTTTGTATTTAATATGAATGGGGAAATATGAGCTGGAATTCCTGCCTGATACTATGAAATCAACTAAGTTCCTGTAGAGTGAGGATAAATTTTCATTCATAAACTTTTCATTCTGAATAATTACTGGTTATTATGGCAATTTCTGAAACTCTGAAGACCTGGCCAATTGTGGCTGTTCTGACATTTGTAATTCTCAATAATCAGAGGAATCACTTTTCACAGGAATGGTGCCATTAGTTATTTGAGATCCACTGCATGGGTGGTCCAGTTTCTCTTTTTGTCATTAAATTCAAGAAGAGAAGCTCTTTGGTGGCATATGGGGAGAGACTAAATGTCTGAACAGCTCATGATACACCCAGCACTTCAAAAGGGGCAATTCCCTGGCAGATTGTGGAGTTACAGGAACATTGCCAAAGCCAAGCCTCAATTACTGAACCCCAATCTCACACTCCTTGTGGCCTCAGGAACAGGAACCCTGGGGTTTTTCCCACCTCTCAAGCCAGAGCTCAGGGTGTGGCTGGCAGCATTCCTGCACCACACAGCACCCACATCACGTGGATTTTAATGCAGGGCTTTAACACATTCTATTAATTATATGTTCCAATGCTGCTTCATGCTGTTCCTTCAAAACTCTCCCTCCCCTGGCCCAGCAGAGCTGCTGCACTCCCAGCGTGGCATTTCTCACTCTCAACATTCACTTTCTTACAGGCAGTGGCATTCCCTGCTGGAAGCCCCTGGAATTGGGGTGTTCTGGGGCTGTAATTAAGCACAGGAAATGCGAGGGGAGGCAGGGTGGGGAGAGGCTGGCAGAGCTGCTGTGGGCAGAGCACCCAGCCACGTCAGCACCCGGCTATTTGATGGCACCCTGCTTTGCACGGTGGCTTTGGGGTGTCATTTCCCTCCCATGACATGCCCAGGTAGCCCAAAGCCAGGAGAGGTGAGCTCTGTCAGCCCCCAAAGCAGGGTTCCCTTCCCAGGGTCTGCACAGCTGTTGGGTGCCAGAATTAACACCTGGACCATGGAGCCACTGGAAAAGGAGGTCAACTAGATACTGCTGGTTTTAGCAAATATCAGTAGCTTATTCTGTGGTGTTCTAATAATACCATTTTAAATAATACCTCTTTTTTTTTTTTTTTTTTTCTTTCTTTCATTTTACCATCAATGCAACTACTTTCTCTTCCCCAAAAAAATCTTGTTGGAAGTGCAGTTAGATAAGACATGCCCTATGGACAAACACATAAATATTGGGTGAATTGGAAAGGTTTTCCAGGTGACTACTGCAAGATTTTAGAGATGTAAGGCACTTTCTGAACAACAGCCCCTGTGGGAGTTGCTGCATCCACCCCTGAAACTCCTCAGTCTGTGGGAGCTGTAGCAATGTTTTACTGAGATCCAGTAAAACCAAGCCATTGATTTTTGCCTCTCAACTCTGCAGGATTTTAAAAGGTGAAATCTTTCTTTTCATATCACTTTGTCTGTGTCGTTCCAAATTTTATTTATTTTCACTATCGATATTTATATAATCATTTATAGGGAAAACAATTAAATGTCATGCAGGCAAGGGGACACATTCAGCCCTGGCTGGTGGAAATGCCTGATGTCACTCAACGTGTGGCCTTTCAAACTTTCTGATTTAATCACAATCACTGTTTGAAATTATCCATCCTGAGGGCTCCTGGCTGGAAGAGCAGGGACTGGGATTTAAAAAAATCATTTTTGTGTGGCTGGGCAGTGACAGGAACTGGGTGCATGGCTGGTTTAGAGACTGCTGCTCACACATGTCAGGATATGATGACATGTGTTCCAAAAATACCTTGGGAATTTTGCCCATCTGCCAGCCTGGAAGAGCTGGGCACAGGCTGGGATCCCCTCAGGGAAAGCAGATAAGCCTCAGCTCCAGCTCAGCTTTAATGCCAGGAGAGATAAATTATCAAGCTTGCCCTTGGTAGTTCTTTTCTTGGTTCATGGTTGGGCTTGCCTTTTATCACTGATACTTTTTAAAATACGATGTCTTCAACAGTTCCCACTTTTTCCTGGAGATTGATGGTTTTGAAAGCAATGCCAGTCCCAATAACACCTCTCCCCCTGTGTTTTCCAAACCCATGGATTCCAACATTCGCCCCTGGTAAGTTCCAGATTCACAAGCAATGATCCTGCTGCAAATATATCCATTTTCTTCCCCTTAATTCTCCTTGGGCCTCAGTGCCAGGATTTCACATGACTTTTTACAGCTTTTGGTCACTTCAAAGACAGAACTTCACTGGAGATTTATCTCTGGTTTTATCTACTGCTGTCGTTTCTATGGAATAAATCAGGCTTCAGATCTGAATAAATCTAAAATCAGTTTGTTTTTTTTTTTAAATCTTAGCCTCTTATTAGAACAAACTCCATGCTCTCATTTGGGTGTTTTCTGCTGTGTGAAGACCACAGCCTAATTTAGCTGTTCCCAGCTGGTTGCTGACGTCTTCCCTCTATTGCTCATTAACAATCAAACGTGGAAATGCTGAATTTGAAATATTTAAAGCAGCCATTTATGCTGAATGAATAGAGAAAAATTATGACTGAGAAGAATACATTTATTTTAAAAAAATGTGCGGGGTGCTAACAACCAATAATTATGAGTAAGGGAAATATGTCACAAATCAGGCACAGGCCCAGAATGGCCAAAGGTTTTTGTGGCTGAGGGTGTCTGGTCAGCTTTTAGGAATTGGCTGACAGGCTGATTTTGGTTTCAGAGGAGAGGTGTCCAAATTTCCCCCTGTCACTCAGGAAGTGACCTGCACATGTGCTTTGTCACCACATTACTCAGCTTTCTGCAGAGGGGTCACAGATGGATTAGGAATGGACTCAGAGCTCCCAGATTTAATTCAAAGAGAAGGGAATACCTGCAGAGCAGTGCTGTCCATGCATCTGTTTTGCCAATAATTAATAGCTCAGGTTCCCTAAATTATTAACCTGAGGTAGTTCATCCAATCTGAACCTTAGAGAAAACAATAATACAAGTAAGAAACTCATTTATCTTAATTTTTCTAAGTCAGATCTGCTTTTAGGACTGTGTGGAAATTATGCACAGCAATTACAAAGTATCAATGCCATTGAAAATCCTTTAAATATATCACCTACACATCTATTTAGGGCCCAGTCCTCAATTTCTTTCAGTCAAGTCAGCCACAAAACATTCCTGAATTGCCTCCAGTGTTCTGTGTAGTAAATCTTTAGGTAAATCTTTCATTGTGGGCTTGCAACCCCCTCACTGCTACTGATTTAGCACTTGTTTTGTGCCAGATGACAAATTAAGCATGTGAAAAGGAAGAATGCAAGCTTCAAGCATTCAGGGTGATGCATAAAAAGCAGTGATTATTAAAAAGGAAAAAAAAAAAAGTTCCCACGGTTTCAGGATGTGTAGTGAAATAATAAAACAAAAAGCAGATTGCTTTCCTAATGTGGTCTTTTTTAAAATATAATAAAATCCTATGAGTCTCTTCATTTTTATCACTCACTTTAAAATCCATGTGGGAGATAAAATGATAGAATTAAAAGGCCAATGTCAAACTGGACTAATTTAAGCTCTAGTGCAGATACTCTAACCTACCATTGACTGTTTCTTCATGCAGTTTGCCAAAATACCTGCTAATATCTTGGCACATTTGCTTTTCTTTCTCTGCAGTGCATCTGCAAATGGGGAAGACATGGATTCCCCCCAGTCCCTTCAGGATGATGCCACTGAATACAGCCCTAACGTGGACAGCTGTGGGTGAGTGGAGACACAAATATTTCTCAGCACATTTTCAATTGGTTCAGTCTGTGGAAGGGTAGATATTACCTATTTTTCCTGGCATGTTTTAGAAAAAAAAAGGTCATGTGTGCATGCCTTTCTGATCCTTTAATAACTAAATATTGATATAAACAACTCTAATCTCTCAATTTTCGTATTTAGTGTGAGGATTCTTCATATAAAATGGGTGGTTTTTAGATGGCAACACAGGACCCACACACCACAACCAGGCATGGAATATTTTTGCTTGGGGGAAATATTAAATAATTCTTTTTCCAGAAGAAAGGATGATCAGAAAGTGGTGTAAGATGTGAGGTTAAGATCTCTCTTCAGCTGTGAGAGCAGCCCCAGGTAACCTCAGCATTGTGGCAGAGCAAAGCTAACGTGGACAGCTGTGGGTGAGTGGAGACACAAATATTTCTCAGCACATTTTCAATTGGTTCAGTCTGTGGAAGGGTAGATATTACCTATTTTTTCTGGCATGTTTTAGAAAAAAAAAAAGGTCATGTGTGCATGCCTTTCTGATCCTTTAATAACTAAATATTGAAATAAACAACTCTAATCTCTCAATTTTCATATTTAGTGTGAGGATTCTTTATATATAAAATGGGTGATTTTTAGATGGCAACACAGGACCCACACACCACAACCAGGCATGGAGTATTTCTGCTTGGGGGAAATATTAAATAATTTTTTCCAGAAGAAAGGATGATCAGAAAGTGGTGTAAGATGTGAGGTTAAGATCTCTCTTCAGCTGTGAGAGCAGCCCCAGGTAACCTCAGCACTGTGGCAGAGCAAAGAAGAGTTCCTTAGCCTTTATTCTAGAGGAATGGATAAACTGAATAAAACATAAAATACTTGAAAAATGTGCTGTTTATAATAAAGCAGCCTCTCAACAGCCCACTCAACTGCAAATGAGCAATGTGAGAAATATTCTGAGCTATCCGTGGCAGCGGGGCAAGTTCATCCAGTCTGGGGCCAACAACTGCATTTGCTTTTACCCTTCTTAAAAATAAAATAAACCAGGATAAATTACACCAGCAACTTCATGATGATTTCTTACAATTCAGTGCTACCACATGCCCAGGCCCTGAGCTGAGGAGTGCCAGGAAGAAGCTGAAGAGGAACCTGTTCCGGGCAGTGTCCGAGGGCAACGCGGAGGAGCTGCAGCGGCTGCTGGCCGAGCTCAGGGAGCGCTCGGGGGCCTGCACCTCCCTGCCCGTGCCAGGTGAGCCCTGCAGGCACCCGGGCTGCTGCCTCAGCTGCTGGATTTTGTGGTTTTTTAGATTCTCTACTGATTCAGTGTGCAGTTCTGAGCTTTGTATTAGGGGATGGTGAGGTCTCTTCACAGAGCAGGGAGATGAAACAATTCCTTCTCCAGCTGGGGACCAAGGATAAATGGTCCAAATCTCAGTCCAAGAGCACAAACAACGTGGGCTGAAGAGAGAAAAACAAGAGGGATGGGACTTCATAACTAAAGCTGTAATTGGATAATTAAATCCAATATGCAAATGGAGCAGAACTGGTCAAAGTGAGAGACTCCGTGAGCGCTCGTGCATTTTGGGACCATTTTGGTTCATCTTGGGTGCAGCCCTGGCTGGGCTCTTGTGCTGCCCAAGGTGCATCCATGGAGGAGATCCTTTTAATAAATCCCTATTTTATTCTTTAACTCCATCTAGCCTCTGTTCTAGGTCAGCCTTCACAAGGTATCAGGGGAGGGCTGCCAGCTTTCCTGGAAGCTCAGGGGCAGCCTAAACCTGGGAATGGTCTTTATTTCTCTGGAAATGGTCTTTATTTCCCTGGGAATGTCTTTATTTCCCTGTGAATTATCTTTTTTCCCCTAGGAATTATCTTTATTTCCCTGGGAATTTGAGAGTTATGGCACCAGGATGTCCAACAGGAACACCAAGGTTGCCTTGGTGCTCAAGAACGAAGGGAACAGGATGGAGTCATAGTTTGGGAAATAGTTTGTGTTCATCTATATCCATCAGGTTTCACCCCTAATGAGCAGAAGTTTAATAAATAACAATTATCTAATCTCAAATTTCACTCTTGTAGATTACCTGATGAAGAAGTTCACGGCTTCAGACACTGGCAAAACTTGTCTGATGAAAGCTCTGCTGAACATCAACCAGAACACAAACGAGATAGTGAACATGCTCCTGTCCTTTGCAGAGGAAAATGGCATTTTGGAGAGATTTATCAATGCAGCATACACAGAAGAGGCATATAAAGGTATTGCCATCTGATAGCAGTTTCAGGTATATGGTTAAACATAACCTCCATAAAATAATAATGGTTTAAATCCCTTGAACCAACTTTTATTCATTACCACTGGTGCCATCCTTTGTGAAACATCATTAATGTTTCAGAGTGTGCTTGAGAGACTCAGCCCTAAATTCCTGTGTCTGCTTTTTCAGGCCAGACAGCTCTAAATATTGCCATTGAGAGGAGACAGTATGAAATAACTCAGAGCCTCATAGAGAAAGGAGCTGATGTCAATGCTCATGCCCAGGGTATTTTCTTTAATCCCAAACACAAGCATGAAGGCTTTTATTTTGGTAAGTGGAATTGAGATATTTCTGGAAAAGTTAACAAGGAATACCCAAAACTTCCATAAAACAAGAGCTTAATCCAAACAATATATAAATGAGCTTTCATATATTAAGATATTTAACACAATATTTTTTATTCTGATGAAATAAATCATGACCACTTGTTGTATTTTGTGATTCTGCAGGTGAGACTGCACTGGCTTTGGCAGCATGTACCAACCAGCCAGACATAATTGAGCTGTTAATGGACAATGCCAGGACCAACATTTCCTCCCAGGATTCCAGAGGAAACAACATCCTCCATGCATTAGTGACCGTGGCAGAGGACTCCAAAACACAGAATGACTTTGTGATCAGAATGTATGACATGATTCTGCTGAAAAGTAAAGACAGGAATCTGGAAACAACCAAGAATAAGGAGGGTTTGACACCGCTGCAATTAGCTGCAAAAACTGGGAAATTAGAGGTGGGTGTGATTTCAGCAGCATCTAAGAGAAACTTGTGCTCTGACAGGTCTCTATCCAGGCTGGTTGTGCTGTTTTCTGTCAGTATTAGTGAGCTAATTTTGTTCAAAACACAAATATTTCCACTGCAGTGTTGTTTTAATGCTTCAAGGTTTCTCTGTAACTCCCTCTCTCTGTACAAACTACACAAGCTGTTTAGAACCAGCCTTCTGTTGTGCAGAAATTCTCCATTTACCACCAAACAATTTCAGAAATCTCACTAGAACTGCTCTGTTGTACTGCTGTAGAGTTTGGTTTGCATAAATCCACTGCAGTGTAAAGAATTGGCACTGGGATGATTTAGAAAAGAATTAAGTTCAAGGAAGGCATAAATAAACACAGGGAAAACTGTGCTTTCATTCTTCAGAAAAATCTCTCTGACAGAAAATCTGAAGGCATTAAAACCACTGAACTTATTTCTTAGAGGTTTTTCACCTCCAGCACCCCTCACTGAATAACAAAATTACAAATACATTAAATTGAACAACTGTACAAAATGTTGCAGATAAAAGGTGAGAGTTTGGGCAATTCATGTATTAATGTGTTTGTCCTTTCCCTGAACAGCTGCTGACAAATCATTTGTTCATGTTTTAGATTCTGAAGTACATCCTGAGCAGAGAGATCAGAGAGAAGGCAAACAGGAGCCTGTCAAGAAAATTCACAGACTGGGCTTATGGTCCTGTTCAGTCTTCTCTGTATGACCTGACAGAGCTGGACACCACTGCTGACAACTCAGTGCTGGAAATCATTGTCTATAATACAAATATTGGGGTAAGTTGCCTATTATATAAAATATTTATTCTATTATAAATGTATAATAAAGTATTATTATGATAAAAGATTACATTATTAAATATATAAGAATACTATTATAATACTATAATATAATAATTACTCTAATAATAAACTATTAGAATATATATTAAAATATAATTTTTTTTCTAGCAATATCCCCATATTAGAATTGTCAGCCTTGCAAACAACTGAATTACTTGTGGACAGTAATTTTTGATTCTCAGTTTTTGTATCAGGAGCAAGATGAAATTTATGCTGCTGCATAATGTCAGCTGTAAGCAAATGTGCATTCAGCTCCTGCAACACAGGTTAGTGATTTTGGAAGTGTCTTTTCCATCCCAGGGAGGTCTGGCACATCCCTGAGCACAGAGGTGTTTCTAGGGCAGCAAGGATAGCATGGAGTGAAATACACAAAAGTCACACTTAAAATTCAGTTTCCTTACAGGCAATGAGTTGAAATATTTAAATTTTTAATTTATTTTTTTTTCCCTCCTCAGAATCGTCACGAGATGCTGACTTTGGAGCCTCTGAACTCACTGCTGAGGATGAAGTGGAAGAAGTTTGCACGGCACATGTTCTTCATGTCCTGCTGGTTTTATTTCCTGTACAATGTAACATTAACGTTGGTTTCCTACCACAGGCCCAATGAAAACGAAGTGAGTGCAGCAGCTCAACCTCACCAAATGTACTGACTTAAAAGCAATAGTGTTTCCTGAATTGGGTTTGAAATGCTAAAACAAGGACAGGTATTGGAATATCTGGGTATAGAGAGACCACGTCCCCACATCAGTATAGGAACATCAGAATTGCATTTTGTGGAAGTGACCTAAAATACAAATAAATGATACAAAGACTCAGTGAAATTTCTGAAGGAAAGAGGGTATTTTGGTTTTCCTTTAAGAAAGAAACATCTGATACTTGAAACATCACTCTTAGGGGGTTGATTGTGTAAACACATCAAGAAAATTCTCCCTGGAAGGGGAGAAATTGTGAACCCAGAGAGTTACAGGTGGGAGAGTTTCTGTTGCTTTGCCTTTCACCCTTCAGGGATGGAACTGAGATTTTCCTTCTGGATTTGTTCTGCAGGCTCCTCCTTATCCCCTGGCTCTGACCCGAGGGGTGGGGTGGCTGCAGTTGTCAGGACAGGTGATGGTTATGTTAGGAGCAATATTTTTAGCCATAAAAGAGGTAAGATTTTTTTTTTTTTTTGGTAAAAAACATACAGCTAATTTGTAAAGAACTTCTCTAAATTTATGAATATGCTGTTGCTGATATTGGTATTACACATGGAGTATTTTGATATGTGTAATTGTCAAATCTTTGGCACAATCACTTATTCAGAATGACCCTGGTTATATATGTGATTACAACTGTGAAACAAATATAAGGATGTTTGTTTTTCAAATTGTCCGTGCAGAGATCTGATATTTGTATTATATCAGTATTGTCAAATTATTGGCTTTAAGGACAAAAGAATTGCAAGTTGTAATGAAAAACAAATCCCATGGTATAATTTTGCCATGTAAGTAATTAAAAACAGTAACTTAAATTGTGCCAGAGATGACAGAATTTTAACCTTTGAATTTACAGCCCTATAAAAAATTAACTCTAGAGGTTACCCCATCTTATCAGTAGATGGAATAGTTCAGAACACCAGTTAAATTATTTTGAAAAATAGATTTTGAGGTCTGTTTTCTCTTTACCATGCCTGCATTTTCTGTTTCTGCCTGCTCAGAGTGTGGCCATCTTCCTGCTCAGGCCCTCAGACCTGCAGTCCATCCTCTCTGATGCCTGGTTCCACTTTGCATTGTAAGTCTGACATGTAGATATTTTTTTTTTCTACTGTATATAAAATTGTCCATCTCATGGTCACAGAGAATGTGCTCCTGTAGCAGATATTCACTTTTCCCCCTCAAAATTATCAGTTTTAGAGGGATGGATGTAAGTTTGCCTGCAGCTTTTCTGTAACACAAACTCTGGGTTCCACTGTCAGTGACAATGCCAGGGTTGATGTGCATGGAGTGGATTTTTCCCTCGTGCCAGTGTCTTCCCTGTTTGTGGAAAATCTGTAATGATTCTATCAATTCTTAATCTAAAGCTGCAATTAAATGGCTTTTGAGATATTGTAAGGATTCTTACAATTCTGTCAGCAATATCTGCATTGAGCAGCTGTTTTGGGGAGAACAGTTTACCTAAATTAAGCTTTAATAAATAGAATCCTTATATGTTAATATACTGCTTGCACTGACCTATTTTATCATTAAACTATAATGCCATTTTCATGGGGAGAATAAAAAAGCAGCATGAAATTAGAAATTAAGCCTAAAGAGCAAAGAAATCTTGTTTTCGTATTTTTCCATTCTGTTGTTGGTTTTGTGCTAGTAATTTCTCTTTTACATATATGTTTGTTTTTTAACAGTTTTATACAAGCTTTGCTTGTGATCTTCTCTGTCTTTTTGTACTTGTTTTCCTACAAAGAACACCTGGTGTGTCTTGTTTTGGCAATGGCCCTTGGCTGGGCCAATATGCTCTATTTCACCAGAGGTTTCCAGTCCATGGGCATTTACAGTGTGATGATACAAAAGGCAAGTTTTTCTTTTCTTTTACCTGCCTGATAATACTCCATTGTCCTACAATCCAAATCAAGTATATTTAGCAATTATATGTATTTTATAGTTCATTTTTAAATGCCTTCTTTCCAGTTTGTCTGCATTATTTCAGCAGAACACAATATTTGTTCTTCTTCAACAGCAGGAACTAGTTTGTATCTTAATATTGACATTTTTATTACATTAAATATGTGAGTAGCTTGTGTTTTTTCTAGCTAATGTAGTTCTGCAATTTAATTGCATCATAATCTGTAATGTCTGTATTGTACAGAATTAGTCACTCTCAGAGAGCACATCAGACATGAGATAAAAAATCAGACCTTTGGGTTTGTTTGCTCAAGGAAGGCAGTCTGATGCTTTAGTGTGTGCCTCACCTGTACCCCTGCAGAATTCAAAAGCACAAAGCTAGCTCTGAATTTTAATTTCTGTCAATTGTTTCATTCCATTTTCAGGTCATCCTGCACGATGTGATCAAGTTTTTAGTTGTGTACATGGTGTTTTTGCTGGGATTTGGCGTAGGTAAATATCACTGGAGAAAAGCACTGATGCTCTGTGTGAGTAAAAATTTTAGCATTATTATGAATAAGAACCCTGTTTTCATGAGAGCTCATGTTGGGGTTTCTTCTGGATGTTAAGTTTAGGTGTGAACAGATTTGCCTTGGTCTCAAATCCCTGGAATCTCATTTGATGTGGGCTCTTTCCTGGAGCTGTCAGCTGGCTGCTCTGTGTGGCCGGGCAGCTCTGGCTCTCTTCAGCAGTTTGAATTCTTTGGGATGAAGTGCCTGTATTCCTAAATAATGATTGTGACTGAAACTTCCTTGTGCTTCCTTCTCAGCTCTGGCTGCCCTGATTGAGACGTGCCAGGAGGGTGGGGAATGCCACTCCAACAGCAGCCTGGGGCCTGTCCTGATGGATCTCTTCAAGCTCACCCTGGGGCTGGGTGACCTGGAGATCCAGCAGAACTCCAAGTACCCTGTCCTGTTCCTCCTGCTCCTCATTACTTTCGTTGTGCTGACTTTTGTTCTTCTCTTGAACATGCTGATTGCATTAATGGGAGAGACTGTGGAGGATATTTCTAAGGAGAGTGAGCACATCTGGAAACTCCAGGTTTGTTTGGGAGATTGGGAGATGCTTGGGCTAAAACCCTCATGCTGACACAGCAGGTTAAGTGTTAAAGATAATCCTCATTTGGTTTTGTGTGTGAATAATAAAAATAAATAATTCCACTATTAGAGAAATGTAGGAACTTTGGAATTAACAATCCTAAAGGTTATCATGGCTTGGATTTTCAACTCATGCACTGTCATGACTTTCTTTCCCCAGGATATATCACAGGATGATATATTCACCATTTTTCCAGGAGTCTGAATTCCTATTTGCACAAATTATCAGTGATTTGCTGGTTTTGGTGTTGGCTGTGGGTGGAGGCTTGACCTGTTGCAAACTGCATGCTGTGAAATCAGACCATGACTAACCACACTCATTTTACTATTTACTGCCAATAGAGAGCCAGGACTATTTTGGAATTTGAAAAATTCTTACCAAAATGCCTGAGGAAGAAATTCCAGCTGGGAGAACGGTGTAAAGTGGCTGAAAATGACACCAGGGTGTGTTTAAGGTAAAGCAAAGCTGGAATCATGTGCTATCATTTCTGCTCTCTTTGTGCTGCTTCAAGGTTATTTTTCCTCAAAACCCTCTTTAAAATATGTCTATTATCTCTACAAACTATACTAGGTGTACAAAAACATAATTTGGATTTTTTTTTTTCAGTTGTAACCAGTTGTTTGAATAGGGAAAATGTATACATTTTTATGTAGGCAATTTTTTGGTAAGAAATTATTTTAATCTTCATATGTTTTGACTGTAAAAGCATCAAATCTGTTTGCAGTAAATGTCACTTTATCATAATCTCCTTTGAATGTCAGCTTAAAAGCAATCACAGTTAAGTTGATTGGTAATTGATGATTACCATATTAAAGAACTGTGCTGTTTAATGAAAAAGACTTAAATATTTCAAGGCTGTGCTAACAATGTGTGAAATTATGAAGCAGTCTTGGTATTATTCTCACCTTCATATAGTGCAAAAGACATTCAGGCTTTAGTGCCAGCAAAGCAGGTGGTCAAGTGTGACAATCCCAGGAAGGAACAAAGGGGGAAGGTCAGGGATGTAGCTGGGGGATAATTCATGATGATAACACAATTTATGTACAATGTAAACAGGATTAATGAAGTGAAATGGACCGAGTGGAAAACCCATGTTTCATTTATTAATGAAGATCCAGGGCCAACAGGTACTGTGGAGTTTTATGACAACCTATTTGCAGAATCTTTTCTTCTTAGAAATGTTTTTGATAGAGTTTTATACCTTTAAAATATAAGCTCTTATATTAAACCACATATTATTGCTAGAGAAACTAATGGTTAATATGGCAGTGGTGTTAAATTACTTTTAAAGACTTGGAGAGAGGGTTGGTGACAAACAAGTTCTGTAACATATATATTGGGTGACATAAATGTTGGCCAGGAAATCCAAGACATCCATCTGCTGCCAGAACAGGAGTGTCCTGGAGAAATGAGCTCCCTCTGGGGTGAAAAATTTCTGTAGAAGATATGGTAGCAAACTGAGAGCTTGCTGTTTAAATAATACATGTTTTTAACAAAAAAGAAAAAAAAAAAGGTGCAAAATTCTGATCTTAGCTATACAGTTTCTACCATATCCTGTTTTGTTTACAATGCATTTTTTTGCAGATCCAAGCAAAATTCAAGATAATTCAAGAACTAATAGCAAAAACACCCTGAATACGTTTGAAGAAATGGATGATTTGCCTGAAACTTCTGTTTAGTTGTGCTGTGCTTGACGTGTGGCTCTTCTGAAGGTTGAAAGCATCAGCAGTGGAGGCTGAAAGCTTTGTGGCTGTTTTGGACAGCTGTAGCCAGCTGGAACACAAACTTTCAGTGACACAGTCTGATGGCTTGCACCCATTTATTCAGAGCAGCTGAGCTGAAATAAATGGGATTATTTCACTGGGTCAGTTCTGAGCCTCTCAAACTGTTGCTGTCCAAGTTTGCCTGATGCTCCTCAAACTTGGCTTGAGACGTTTCACTGGATAAAAAAGGTCAAATGTGAGATATTTCTTCCTTTTGTGGAAAATTAAGGTCATTGTGATCCCAATCTGCTGGTTTTGGAATCCTTAACTCATGAGAAACTCATTTTGTAGACTGAAACAAAAAAGTTCTTGTTGTGGAGAAAAGCAAAGCATTTCAGTTCTGAAGATGACTAAATGAAGTATGTCATTTTGAAGTCACAAGGTTCTGGGTACATTTGCAGCTCTTGCATTGACTGTCAGTGTTACTGGGGGCTTGGTCCCATCAGCTGGAAAATCAGATCCCAGTGGCTTTGCTGGTCTGTTTTCCTCTGTGCAGTCCCAGGGTGTAATTGGAGTTTATTGCTGTGTATTTATTACTGTGTGTCTGTGCCTCCCCATGAACTAACAGGGCAGAAATAGAATTCCTGATGGAGGATTTTTGCTCCAGTCACAACATTACCTTTCCTCCTTGGCTTTTCCATGCTGTTGCATTTTCCTACATGAAGAGTTACCACACTGGAAGTTCTTCTGAATTAATTTTTGCATTTAACCACTTTAGAAAAATCAGAAGTCAATATTTCTTCCCCAGGTGAACAAAATTAGTTCAATGCAATGCAATTCCAGACTTTATTTTTTATTCAGAGGACTCTGTAATGCATTTCTGTAGCTCTTATTTAATTACCTGTGATGACCAAGTACTATGAATTATATTTTTAGTTTTCTATTTTATGTGTGTATATATAAGGAGAAACATTTGTTCTGTGTACTTTTAAATTTCAATTAACATGTATCTCCAGTGTCATGGCTTTTCATCAGAATTATTCATGTGGTGCCTGTTTTAAAGGTGCTATTTTAGGTGAGACTCAGGGGAACTCAGTTCTGTGTTTGAATGATAATAAGAATTGCATTGGATTTTGCAGCTGTGGGCAAAATGATCCAAAAGACTTTCTTAAGACAGAAGAGAGCGTGAGGGAAGCCAGCAGTGGGAAGGATAATGCAAAATATTTACAGGGATGGTGAGCGTGGGTCCTGCTGCCCAGCTGCCCCTGACAGACACCGTGCCCTGAGATTCCAACCACGGCCTGCATGGATGGATGGGATCCACAGGAACCTTGGGCTGTGTTCTGGGCACAGGAATTGCAGGGGAAGGACATTTGTGTGCCCACAGACCACGTCACACCCCAGCGCTGTTTGGCTTTCTCAGCAGGAGACGTGAGGATGAGAAGAAAAGTTCCTGCGGTCTGGGAATCTTTGATCGTTGATTTTGCACCAAAGCTGCCAAGGAAGGACATTGCCTCAGGGCTGCTCAGCTCTGCCTGGATCCTTTCTGTGCCAGTTTTTGTACAAAGGGAAAAAAAATACCTCTTCACACACACTCAGGAACCAGGCTGGGCCGTGAGGCCACTGGAAACACAACGAGGCCTCTGCGCCGTGCTGAGGCTGCTCTGGGCTGTGAAAAAAGCACAAAAATCCCTACAAGAAACACAAAAATCCTTACAAGAAACACAAAAATCCCTACAAGAACATGCTGTGCCCCTGCCCAGGCACAAAACTGTTTGGCTTTCTCAGCAGGAGACGTGAGGATGAGAAGAAAAGTTCCTGCGGTCTGGGAATCTTTGATCGTTGATTTTGCACCAAAGCTGCCAAGGAAGGACATTGCCTCAGGGCTGCTCAGCTCTGCCTGGATCCTTTCTGTGCCAGTTTTTGTACAAAGGGAAAAAAAATACCTCTTCACACACACTCAGGAACCAGGCTGGGCCGTGAGGCCACTGGAAACACAACGAGGCCTCTGCGCCGTGCTGAGGCTGCTCTGGGCTGTGAAAAAAGCACAGAAAACCCTACAAGAAACACAAAAAACCCTACAAGAAACACAAAAAATCCCTACAAGAACATGCTGTGCTCCTGCCCAGGCACAAAACCCGTGGGTGAATTCAGGAACCAGCTGAGGGCTGCTCCTAAAAGCTCTCACTGAGGAAATCCCTCCTCGTGTGGCCACAGAGCTTGGCCACCTCACACCAGCCACGTGCTGGCTCCAGGACACTCTGAAAAATGACTGGAGCAGGTAATGCTGTGCTTTTTATACCAGGTTTCTTTAAATTAAGGAAATAAAACTTGCATTCAATCAATATTGTCCTTTGTTTTTTTATTTTATTGCCATAGGAGTTACACAAAGGCAAGGAAAAATACTTTAAATTTAGTAGTAAATGAGGGTGACATCACTTTTCAAAGGTAGAATATAGGAGTTATCTGGATAATTAATCTTTCAGTAAATAATTAATGTGTCCTTATGCAAAATTCTTCATGTTTATCACCTACTTGTCAAATATGTAAGAAACAACATTAGAAAATTAATTAAACCCCCATTTTTAAATCTTTTTAAGATGTTATGACAGGCTTTGTCTCTACAGACACAGAACAAGTCTCCCCATATGGAATTCTTCTTAATTTCCATTCTGGAATACTCAGGTATGCTTTGTGTATTGCTCTTCATCAAAACCAGAATCACTGCCTAGATCTTGCCTTAAATCAGAAACAGCCTGAATTAATAGTGAAATACACTAAAATGAAATGTAAAGCTCTTTAGAGCATATTTCTCTGAAATCCTTTTTTAGCTTATTTTTATGTTTGTAAGTATAAAAACAAAATAAACCCCAAGGCTTCCACTTCAGCACAGTGGGAGGTCAGTCACATATGCAGATAATGTAATTTATTACACACACCCTCCCCCTGTTTCTCTCTGCCCAGCTTCTCCTTTGTCTCACATTTTGTATGTTTACCTGAGGAATTAATTTAAAGGATTAACCCATTGTAAAAAGTGTTGGTTATTGAGGTTTGGGGTTATGAAGTAGAAAAGCTGTAAATTTTGCATATAATGTAGTACTGTGGATGAGCTTCTTCATAAAAACTTCACAAAAATATTTATAAATTCTTTGCATCTATAGGAGTCTATTAGAACAATAAACAGACTCATAATCAGCATTATGACAACAGATCTCCCAAGTGCTCAGCAAGGTTAATTAAATTACAATTTAAAATTAGATTCTGCATTTATGTATCCCACAAGTTACTACTGAATGACCCTGGGCTTCACAAGGAAACCATTTTTTATATGAAAAAAAGCTCTTAAGAAATGCTCTACTCTGAGACTGACAACCTGAGGTGTTTTGCAGTGAGTTTGATTTTCTCTGTTTTTACAAAAGCTTGCTTCTTTTCATAATATGCAGCTTCATTAATAAATGTTGGATAGACAGTACAGTTCCCCTGATATGGGATTACTTCTCCATCAAGAGTCAAAAATTGAGGATCACCATTCTTCAGTGGCTGCCAGTCTTGTTCCTTAGGGAAAGAAAATAAATAGAATATATCCACTTTCAGGTTTTTGTGTATTTTATGTGATTCTTGAGTTAATGCTAATTGTGCAAATTTCTGCAGTTTATGGCAAAAGCTTTTAAAATAATTCTGTTTAATCTTATTAAATAATTTTGTGTGTCTGGCCCTCATTTTCAGAATTCACTGGTCAAGTGAAGTAGAAGGAAACTGCAGATGCTCACAACTGATTGAAAATTTAAAACAGACACTCATTTTAGAATTAAAAATTAGGTTTATATTTTAAAATATAAGCTATCCTATTGGCTTTTTCTTTGTAGTGATTTTAGATGCAGTGATTCCCAAGACAGTTCCTGAAATAATGAAAGCATGACCTTAGTGAAAGAACTTAACCCTAGGGGAAGTCTAAAGTATTCAATAAAACCCTTTGGCAATATTGGCATTTTAAATATTTATTACTAAAATATACAACAATATAGCAGAAGCAACACAGGAATAAGTAGAAAATGTCACAAAAGGAAACTATTTTAGAATTTACCTGTAGTTTAGGATGAATTATTGCAATAATTTCACCATTCTTATTCCTGGGATAATCTACTTTCTCCATTATTTTAAAAACCTCGATTGTGCATGGTGGAAATTCCTTGCCTAGAAAGAATAAATGTAATTTAATGTCAAGATGAAAAACTGCCTGTTAAAAAGAACATTGCATTATTTATTCTCTGCAGAATGGCTCAAATCATCAGGTTGTCCCCTCAAAGCCAAGTTGTAGAAAGATGGTCCAGTCATGTATTGGGGCATATGAAGTTCAAGTCTAAATTTGTTACTGAAATGTTACTTTTCACATAAAAAGACCTTTTTTGTAGATGGGAAAATCAATGAAAGGTCTGTTTACCAGTGTTGCACAGCACAGTGATATCAGGGGTATTTAATCTTTACTATTCCAGCACAATAATAGAAATTCTGACATGCATAACTGTATTATTTTCTTTCTATTAAAAAAAAAAAACAAACCCAACCCAGTGACAAAACATACTCTGAAATAATTAAAACCACTTATTTTGTCAGAGTGTATTTTAGGTAGTGCACAGCTCTGACTTTAATTTTTTAATTCTCCCCCCACCTTTTATCTTTTTAACAGTAAAGTGTCATAGCCCAACGATATTTTTAAAATATTCTCCTAAAACAGTCCACTGCCATGACACAGGATGCTGTAACCTCTCATTACCTTCATTAAAAAGTTGCACAAAATCAAGGCCATGTTTGACAATCTTCCTCATTTTGTCCAAAACATCAGCTCTAGCAACACCTTGTGGCTGGGGCCCCACCTCGACACCTGTTTGGAGATGAGGGAGATCATTAATGTCACTTAATGTGTCCATCACACATCACATGCAGAGCAAAAATAAATGTCTGCTGGGTCAGTATTTAATGTTTAAGAAGGGTTGTAAGGCACAGAATTATGTGGGTTTTTAAGGCAAGAAAGTCCTTGCCATATATTATAAATATTTTCTGCAAAAAGTGGCTTA